TAATAAAAAATTAAATGTCAACTTCTATAAAAATTACTTGAGAATTATAATATTGTGACAAAGTAAACTTTTTTTTTTTTGGCACAAATACATTTTTTTATGTTTAGTAAAATGTGTATTAGTGACAATTATAAAATAAAAAATAATATGTATAGATATTAGTGTCAATCTTTTTGTAATAAACATTTTTTAGTTACTATTAATAAAATTATAGTGACAATTTATTTTTTTGTCACTATTGTAAATAATACTAGTGACAAAGAAAATATTAGTCACTAAAAATATATTATCAGTGACAAGTTTTACTTTCATCACTATTTTTTTTTCACTAAAAATCATATTTCTTGTAGTGATTGGTAGTTTTGATTTTATTGTTTAATAAACACAAATTCCTATAAATGCTAACTAAAATAGCAAGTGTAAGACAATTTAGTCTCTCTAAGTAGATGTAATGTAATAGAGATTTTTTCCCCTCTTCAAAATGGTTGTGATATAATATATAGGAAAAATTAACCTTGACAATCACAACGCCAAAAACCCCTAATGCTCCACTTGACTCTCATTTCTCATGAGAAGTTTCACGTACACATTGATTATGATATGCTCAGTAGTTGGCTAAAGATTTGAAAAACAATCTGAATACAATAAGTTTTTGTTCAATTTCATTTTTCCTCGATGATCATTGACATTGATTTTTAGAAACAAGATTTCTATATTAGAATAACCCTAACCAACCTTCATATCCTTTAATGTTATAGTTGCTTCCCCTGAAAAAAAAAAACTTAATGATTGCAATTAAAATTAATTAAAATAATCTTCAACATACAAATAAACCTTATATTTAATGATATGCTTAAAAATATCCCTTATAGATGTCACTTCAATCAACCCACTCTAGTTGTCCCAATTTGTCACTTAATGTAGCTACTACTTAGTTGATGTTGTCCTTTTTGTTGTTCATTCTCGGTCCATTATTTCTCTATTCTTGTAAGTATATGCAAATGCAATGTAACTTTACCCTTCAATGTAAAAATTTTACTTTTCAAAAAATAAATTATTATTGATTTATTAGTATTTTGTTACTATTATCTTTTGTTACCATTACCAAATTTGTTCAATTGCCAACTCAGTTACAGACTTTGTCATATATATCATTTCACAAATAGGTTGTGTGATCTGTGATGGAATCCATTGGATAAAGAGGTCAAACCACCCATCCAATTCTGGAAATATGATATAACACCAAATGTACAAATTAGGTAGCTTTTAAAGAGTACATATACATTCACCGGATGAAACGGTAGCTAGTAAATTATTAATATATCAACAATAATTAATTTTTCAGAAAAGTATAAGTTTCACATTAAAGGATCAAGATTGATACGGCATATATTCATAGGAATGGAGAAAGTAGAATGTGAATGGAGAAGTTCGAAGATAAACAACCAAGCAGTTACATTGTATAAATAGAGTAAAATGATATATAGCTTAGTTGATTGAGTAGGGTGTGTGAGGATTGTAAACTTTTTTTATTAATAATTTTGGTTCTTATAAATAAAAAAAATGAAGTGAGCAAAATGACGTGTTAAAATATAATTGTATTGTAATGAGCATATATAATATAGTTTGTAATTAGATGATAGTATAAAAATTCATGTATTATTTATTCATTAATAATTATAGACTCATTAAATGAAAGATCCAAAATTCCTACTATCATGATCATTATTGCATAAATAATAGGTAGTTTTGAATCACAATTCCAAATTAGTTTTTATATGACAAATAATTAAGTGTTATTAATTTTTTTTTCTATAAATTGAAAATTTAAATACATATCATATAGTGGTTGACTGAGACCATAATACTTGATAGTCTAATATTACTTTTGGTCCTAATTATAAACAATAAATTGAATTTTTCTTTGATCTTAAATATGAACAACAATTATTGTTTTTTAAAGTTAATCAAAGTTAAATTTATTTTATAGCCTTCATTTATTGGTAACTCTATTTTCTATACATTTACTTATAATTAATATTAAATATAATAACTATTTAAAGTAAAGAGTATATTTGGAATAAAACTTGAATTTATAGTGTAATTAATTAAAAGTAACCGTAACATCTCATTTTTTCAAAATAAATTAAAAAAAATTATTAATTAATTTGGATAATGATATATGTTGAGAGATACTTTAACATAATTAGTTATTTATTTGTTATTTTTGAGATATATATATTCTTAATTTAATTATTTTTTGTATTTATCTTTTAAAAGATTTTCTAATTAATTAAACAGGGATAATATATTCTGAGGGAATAAAGATAAGATACTATTAGTATTTATCTCTTTTTTTAATTAAAAATTGTGAGATGAATTAATTGAACTTTTTTATTAATGAGCTGAACGTAAGGGAGAGGGATAAAGTTTCTTTTAAATACATTAGTTGCTCTAGGATTGTCTTAGTTGTAATCTGACCATACAATTCTAAATTGAAGAAGGAGGCGAACCTCGCTTTGGAGTGTAGGGTAATTGTTGGATAATGGGATTGATCGTCAATCCTAGGTTGTGTGTATGTATTTATGTTGGAGAGGGACTGAACCTGATCATTGTATGAGTATATCTTGTATGAATGTAGTAATTTGAAATATATGTGTATGATATATTTGTTTGTATTTTGATAATGATGTAATTATAAATCTATGAGTGTCAGTGTGTTCCTAGAGGAACTTAAGGTTGTATCTAAACTCTTGAGTAGGAGTGAATTTGAAATATTAGTAATTACATGACTAAAAATATGGATTAATTAGACCATAGATACCCCTTTGATGAATTAAAAATCATACATATTGTAGAAATTAGATTTTTGTAAAATTGTGAATTATGTAGATCATGTTTTACTGATACCATGCTAGGCGACAACTTAGACTCGCTGGGTGCAAGAAACACAAAATGCTTGTAGCCTCGACCATGTTGGGCGTGTTGGTTGGGTCTTGTCGGGCATGGAAGCTCGAAATACTAGTGGTATTATTGACACCAGGTGTGAGCGTAGTCATCTTGGACATGAGAGCTCTAGAGGTCCTCTAGATGTATATTGTCGGGCACAAGGAGGATCATGTTAGGCATGATTCCTTCCAAAGGCTCGTGGCTTATTTGTGGACTTAATCCTTATGTGTGTGTATGTGACAATAATTTGTGTATATAAGCAATTGTGATAAGTGATGAATTATGAAATGATAAAGTGATTAGTGATAAAGTGTGAAATGTTACAAATTATAATGTGATAAGTAATGAAATGTGAAGTGTTATGACTTATAATGTGATAAGTGATGAAGTGTGAAATGTAAAGTGATATGTGATTTTATGTTGTAAATGCATTGAGTCTTGTTTGTCATGCATCATGTGCATATGTATTTTGTGATGAGTACAATGCGAAATACACTATTAAGGAAGACTCCTTTATGTAAAACCTTAGGGATTAGTCGTCATTGGGAATAACTTGGTTTGAGAAGTCTTAGTCTTGCCCAGTGTGAATGGGGCATATCTCAACGAGATCCTAATAGTATATCTTTCTAGTGATAGTGCCATGATGACTTAACTTGACATGTATTCCTGGACTACTCAACCTTCAGGTAGGGAAAAGTGTTTTTACTAGCACCACATGCATATAGTTTAGGAGAGTCTAGTCTATGTATAATCATAACATATTGCTTGTGTTTAAACTGTATTTGACTTATATTATGATGAGATTAAATATAAAATGAGTTGTGTGGTTTAAATTACTGTCTTATTATAATCGTATCGATTGATGAAAAATATGATTATTTGTTATATATATATATTATTTATGTGTGACTACTTGACCTTATTATACACTGATAGTCGGAGTGAGATATGTCATCATTTTCCCTATTTTTTGTAGAAGTTTAATATGTGTTTGTAGGAGACTTCCTTTTTGGAGGAGTATAATTGATTGAAGGGATTGTGATATTGGGGATCTGGGAATATGTTTATGTTTTATGTTTTAAGAAAATGTATATTCTCTAAAATATTGTAATAGCTAGGTATTTAGTTTAGTAGTTTTTGAATTTTGAATGTGATACTCTTTACCTTGTTTGAAGTTATTAATTCAAGTATGATATTCTCCCTTAATAATCATTATATTTATTTAATTATGCATGTAGGGGAGATGGTAGCACACTGACTATATTAATTATTTTTTGGTTAAAATACTTTTTAAGTCCCCATAGTTTCACTCACTTTACCTTTTAACCCTAAATTTTAAAATAAACTTTTTTAGCCCTATACTTATCTTTTTCAATCCTTTTAAGTCCTTATAATTTAAGACAATTTTTTTAGTCTCTATACTTATAAATTTTTTTAATCGTTTTAGTCAATATCATTAATTCTTTTGTAATGTGTTGACATGACAAAAATATTAATTCAACTTTGTGTGTCTGATATCAAATTTATTTTGCTGAAATTGTTCTAAATTAGGCCTCTATACTATGCTTTTTGGTACCTTCACTTGTGTCAGCCATTGTTAAGACATTTTTTTTTACTCTCACAAAATTGAAAACCTTTATTATATCAACACAAAACACACAATGTTACAAAAAATTAATCATAGAAACTAAAATAATTAAAAAAATGTAAATATAAAAGCTAAAAAGAATTGAAAAATATAAAGATTAAAAAAACTGTTTTAAACTATAAAGACTAAAAGATAAAATAAGTAAAATTATAAAAATTAAAATAAATTATATATACATATTAACTAATAATTTCTCCTCATTATTGCCCATATTTTTCTTGCGAAACTGATTTGTTTAGTTGCAATCACTACCACTGTAACAAATCGCGCGTGAGATTTAATAAATCGATGAGATACGCCCCATGAAATTATTAAGTCGGTTTGAAAAGCATGTGTCGGTGTGTATGCCCATGTAACATAATTCCTCACAACATGATACTATAAAAGGGCAATTATGCATGATCTCAAGACAATTAGAGTGTGTGGGAATTAATTGCTCATACAATCCAATAACATATATGGAGCTTCAACCACTCCTTGTCTTGGGCCTTCCATCCATATTCCCAGCATTCGAAACACTAAACTCTCACAAGTACATCTTCCTTAAAGCATTTTCCTCTAAGCTCCCTCTCCTTCAATTCCTAGCCACCAAAAATGTTGCCCCTTCTTCTATTCGTGCCATTCTCTGTGACCCTCGTCAAGCTCTTACTGCCGATATCCTCGGTCTTCTTCCGGCGGTGGGATTTGTTCTCACAACCACTGCCGGAATGGACCACATTGACCTTTCTGAATGTCGTAGACGCGGCATTCAGGTTGTCAGTATCGGCAGTCTAGCTGCCGATGATGTCGCAGACATGGCTATAGGATTGCTGATTGACGTACTATACAAAATTTCCGCTAATAATCGTCGTGTTAGGAAATGTGTTGCTTCTAAACCTTTGAATTTTACTATGGCTCCTAAGGTACTTATTCCTTCGTGTTACATCGTACGTTTGTTTTGTGCGTGCTTCATCTTTGAATCTTTCTTAGCATATAATGTCAAGGATGAAGGTTGAACTTTAAATCAACATACAATTTCAACAATGATGCTTGCACTTATTAAATCATGGTATAAATACAAACTATCTAAAACTCAACTATACAACCTAGGGTTTGTGTTTAAATCTAGTAAATTTCGCTGTTATCGCAAAATATAAGTACGTGTTTGTGTTGATTTACTTAAATATTCCTATAGTTTTGATACGTGCGTTTAGTTTGCTTAATTTTTTTTTTTAATTGTCTTTGTCCATTTATCTGCACGTGTATTTTTCATTAAAATTGGAGAAACAATAAGTAGCTTAAGCACATGCGTGCAAAAGCAATTAAGGTATAAAAGTCATTAATAACACAATAATCTGCCATGTGCAGCACATTCGTTAGTTACGAGATTTAACAAGACGTGATGTAATTTGGATTTTTTCGAAAATAAAAAGGAAAGTTTTGGAATTTTATAATTTTTTTAAGAGATTTAAAATATCTTAATCGGTTTAATTTGTGAATATTTTTAATCAAAAATAAATAATATCAAGTTTTAAGGTAAATGAATTAATCATGAAAAAGACTATAAAGAATATTAATTGAAAAAAAAATTAAAGAATTAATTTCAATTAAATTATATATTAGTCATAATAAAAATAATAATTTAAATAGGAAAAGTGTTTACCTTGTATCTTATGATTGAATGGAAAATATTTTTTAATCCATTAAGGGAGGCAAAATAGTTCTCTAAAAAAAAGGTGGCAAAAGTTCGATCCAACAGATCAACTTGTTTTATAATTTTTTTAAGAGATTTAAAATATCTTAATCGGTTTAATTTGTGAATATTTTTAATCAAAAATAAATAATATCAAGTTTTAAGGTAAATGAATTAATCATGAAAAAGACTATAAAGAATATTAATTGAAAAAAAAATTAAAGAATTAATTTCAATTAAATTATATATTAGTCATAATAAAAATAATAATTTAAATAGGAAAAGTGTTTACCTTGTATCTTATGATTGAATGGAAAATATTTTTTAATCCATTAAGGGAGGCAAAATAGTTCTCTAAAAAAAAGGTGGCAAAAGTTCGATCCAACAGATCAACTTTTCTAACTTCCGTTTTTTTTTTTTTTTTTTTTGTGGTGCGACGTAGTTTGAGGTTTCTAATTCAGAGCTCACCTTATAATTTTGACTTCCCAAAAAACAAGTTAAAGATGAGTTGTGGCATGCAAACTTTTTTTTTTTTATAAGTACATTTCCTTATTATATTATGTTATTTATTTATTTTTTGCAATAGGCATCACATTATTATAAGATTTAAATAAAATAGTAGTATTAATTTTCATCATTTTAACCCTATGTTTGGTATTATAGTACATAAAATTATATATGTACACATTAACTTAGTGTAGATAATCACATTAATTATTTCTATGATTTATTTGATTTGATTTGACTTATTGTTTCTAGATAAATTACTATTAAAAAAATTAGTTAATTTATTTAATTTTAGATAACTATTATATATAAAGAAAATAACAACTATTAAGTTGGTTGATTTATCAACTCCGTTAACAAACAAGACATATCGGATTTTTCAACCCATTTAATTAAGCGAGTAGGTTAACCTATTTTTCATCGATTGAGTTAATAGTTGAGTAAGTAAGGAAAATTGACCGGTTTTAATTACAAGTTTATATGCATGGAGTTCTAATTAAGTTAGCATTGTAAAGTGTAAAAATAAAATACAATAAAGATTGAAAGCGTAAACATTAACTGGTTTGTATTGCATGTTGTTTGTGTACGTTTCAGCTTGGTGGCAAGAGAGTTGGGATTGTTGGATTGGGAAGCATTGGAGGGGAAGTTGGGAAAAGGCTAGAGGCCTTTGATTGCAAAGTTATGTACCATTCAAGGAACGAGAAGCCATTTGTGCCCTACCATTACTATTCTAACGTTGTTGACCTCGCCACTAATTGCGATGCCCTAGTGGTGTGTTGTCCCTTAACCAAACAAACACGACACATAATCAATAGGGAAGTGATGTTGGCATTGGGAAAAGATGGGGTAATCGTGAACGTGGGACGAGGACCCTTGATCGATGAAAAGGAATTGGTGCATTGTTTGATGGAAGGGGAAATAGGAGGTGCGGGTTTGGACGTGTTTGAGAACGAACCTAGTGTTCCAAACGAGCTTTTTGCGTTAGATAACGTTGTTTTGTCGCCTCATGCGGGTGCACACACCAAAGAGTCTTGCCAAGTGAAGTGTGATCTTGTGGCTGCGAGTTTAGAGGCCTTTTTTGTAAGCAACCCAAGGATTAGTGTTCAAAACGTGATTGATGAGAGGCATTTTTATCCAACTTTTGAGTGTCTTCCCGCTTCTTCAGGCGAACCTGCTTATGCTTAAGGTTCTGTTTGGATTACCGTTGGAAATTCGTTGAGGGGTGTCAAACGTACTTTTACAACTTTTGCTCTCGACGTGCTTTTGTGAGGGTCAAAACGGTTACCCAAACGTGGTTATTAAGATGTTGAGAATTCAGTGTTGAATAAGTTGTACCTTATTACCTGCGGATCATGTCTCCAAAATTAATTTGTCTTTTTCTTTTTAACGGCAAGCATGCATGTACCTAGTTAATTTGGATGTGTGTTTTGGCAACTGTGTTCAATGTTCGTGAGGAACACCTTTCCTTTTTTGTAACATGTACCAATATGAAGTGATAAATTGTTTACATCATGCAACTTGGTGCGACATTTGTGAGAAGAAGTTACTATACGTACTATTTCGCCATGCCATTTCAAATTTATCAAGTCATTCTAGACAAAGGATGCTAAATCCACTAAACAAAAAATTTACTTATGAATGATAAAAATAACACTAAAAAGTTAAAAATTTATAAATAAATATTTATTTTATATTGATAAATGATCTATCCATATATTATGCAGATTATATAACAATGACATTTTAGGTTTTACTTGTACCAAATAATTATAAATATAAGTATCTGAATTTATTTACACTATTTATAGGTAGAAGTAACTTTTATTTTACACGTATTCGTTTATATAAGAACAAAACATTCATAAATATAGGTCATTTTCTTGTAGTTATACATACTTCAAAAAGATAACGTATACATCATTATGAATTAGTTATAGATTAAAAATATAATGGTTAAATTTCAATAGAACTTATACAAATGCATGTATAGTAAATTATGAATTTTAGTATTAATTTATAATTTATAATTACATTTTGTCATCTAAGTCAAGTAAAATTACTATGAATTTTTTTTATCCATACTAGGGTTCGAATATAAAATTACTACAAAATAATTATGTACAATAGTTAAGTCATGAGTTCAGTAGTTATTTATAATTATTTTTATAAATAATTAAAATATTCTTTTTATTAGTTTTCTACAAATTTTAAGACTAAAAAGCAAATTCTACGACTATTTATAAAATTAAAAATAAAAATATTTTAAATTAAATAAGTCTATTCTACTGTTAATTATACGAATAGTTATCTTTAGAAGACATTATACATATTCTTTTATTTTTTTTCTGAAAGAATATAATATATA